AAAACTAGACCACCTTTCTGTAACTCCTCAAGGATGGTTTGAGCTTCACGACGAGATGTTTTCTCGCTGGGCAAAGTAACAATTAGTCTAGTCCAGTGTTTCTGAACCTCAGCAACTTTAAGATGGGTGGACTTCAACTCCCAGAATTCCCCAGCCAGCCTTGAAGTTGAAGTCCACCTGTCTTAAAGTTGCCAACGTTGAGGAACCCTGCCTTAAAGCACACTGGCTTGGGAAGTCTGGGAGCTGAAGTCCATGCATCTTAAAGCATACTGACTGGGGATTCTGGGAACTGAAGTGCGTGCATCTTAAAGCATGCTGGCTGGGGAATTCTGGGAGTTGAAGTCCACACATCTTAAAGCACACTGACTGGAGCTGAAGTCCACACCTCTTAAATTTGCTGAGGTTGAGAAACCCTGGACTAGTCGGTACAACTTTGCTGCTCGGCCACCACTTAAGACGAAACTCCGCGGAAAAAAGCGATGGCCACGGGAGCCATCCTGACCTGTGTCAGCTGCGAGTCCATCATCTGGGATGCTCCCATGGCAGACGCCTGGTTGATCTGACCCTCGTAAACCAGAGCCTGGCTGCCATTCACCGGCTGGTAAGGGGACCCCGACTGCGTCTTCACCATCTCCAAAGGCTGCATGCCCGGGAAGGCGGAATAGGGCGGTTTCAAAGCCGTGCCTCCTGCCAGGACCATCGTGCTGGGCTGGGATAAGCTGGGATGCATGTACACCTGAGACCTGGAGGAGGGAAAAGCAGGTGCATCAGGAAGGGAGGAGGCCGAAGAATAGCCCTCTTGGCGAAAGACCGCTTCTGCCGATTTTTTTAAGACCAGGGAAAACCTGAACCCAAGCACACAGGTTGTTTTTACTGTCTAAAAAACAGGCAAGCAGGTCGCCTTTGCTTTACATTTCCTGTTTGCTCTGGATCAAGCAAGTATTTGAAAGGCAACTTTCCCCTTATCACCACCAGGAGGGTGCAAAAATCAACTGGGGGAAACTGGGGGAAACTCTATTCCTGTTACCACCAACGGGTCTTGCTCAGAGACCAAGAGCTGGGCCTTTTCAGTAGCCAGACAGTGCTCTACAACTACTGTCATATTATACACCAGATGGGCTTCACTGTGGTTTTTTTCCCCCCGTATACCACTTTTGAAGATTTCAGAAGGAAGACCAGAAGAAGACAAATAGAGGAGAAAAAGAACAATGAGAAAGAGGAGGAAGAGAAGAAGAAAGAGGAAAAGAGGAGGAGGAGGAGAGGGGACGGAGAAGGAGAAGGAGGAGAAGGAGGAAAAGAGGAGGAGGAGGAGGAGGAGGAGGAGGAGGAGGAGGAGGAGACCACGACAAACAAGAGGAAGAAGCCAACTTGGAGGAGAACCCCACCCCACCCCACCCCCACCCGCTCTTTCATCTTGACAATTATCCTACTAGGGCAGGACTGGAAATGGTGCCTCCAGTGGTGAAGCCAGGGGGCTGAACAGGGGCTCATCCTGTCACCTGAAGGGAGGGATGGAGCTGTAGATCTCCTGGGACTGTGAAACCGGAAGGCCACCCCTCAAGCCGAGCTGAGCCTGGGCTTGCAAGGAAGTGTGGAGGGAGAGTGGGATCTGCTGAGCAGCAGCAGCAGCCGCCTAAGAGGGGGAGAGAAGAAACACCGAGGATGAAGTCCAAGCACCAGGACAGGAAGGTCCGTCATCCGAGAAGACAATCCCAACCTGAGGTGGATGGACGTAAAGCCAGAACTCTCAGCCGTGGCCAGGCTGGTTGAGGAATTCTGGACATTCCGAAGTCCACCTCTGGAGAGCACCCATGTTGGGGAAGGCAACAGTTTAAGGGCCCTTCCCACAATCCTGAACCAGCATTTCCCATGGTTCCTATTGCTCTCCAGGCCTTGGATCTCTGAATTAAAACTAGATTAAAATTAAAACTTGATTAAAAAAATAAACCCACATTTGATTGGTGGAGGTGCTAGTCTTTACATACAATAGGCAGGATGAGTATTCACCAGGCGTATGCCTAAGCTTGCACACATTCACACACACACGGACACACACAAAGCAGTGACTTACCTGTTGATAGCTTTGTTGCTGAGGTATTGTCGGGGGAACAAGCCGCGGTTGGCTGGCAAACACATGGCCATCTAAATACAGGGGTGTGATGTGGTTACCTAGAACAGGTTGGGAGAGAAGCGAGACGTTAATCTCGTCCATACCAGAAGACAGTTGAATACTTACCAAACGTCTGCTCTTGATCTTCCTTCTACTTGAAGTTGCAAAAGTCTCTCCCTATTCTGAACATGGCAGCAGGACCAGGAGTCTCTCAGCCGTAGAATCTCTTCAAACACCCTTTGGCTGATTGCACAGTAAGGGGTTCAGTAGGATCCATTGGAAACATCACAGAGACTGAGGAACCCACTACAACAGTAAGCTTTCAATATAGCTTGCACGAGCTCTTCTGTAATGATATGTAGGAATGACCTTGAGAGACTGGGCCCAGAGGCACAGCCAAGGGAATGGTCAGATAAGAGACAGCATAGCCCTCAGCTGGAGAGTGGGATGGGCAAGAGGCTCAGAAGGGACCCTCCCTAATTTCTTGGGCTGTAAAGGAGTCGGGGGGAGAACTGTACTTTCAGACTTGCAAGATTTTGTCAATGTAGCCTTACAATAAAGCGGAATTAGCTCATCTGGTTTTGTTTCCTGTCTGGTCCACCTGGTAAGGCTGACACCTTCTCAAAATTCAAAAAGGCCTGGGAATATTGCAAAAAAATTCCATCCAGCACTCCAAGAACAGGTTGTCTACTCACTCTGACTGGGAACAAGCAAGCAACCTAGTTCCTCTAAGTAACCAAAAAGTCACGGGGATGACATCATCTTCTCAAATACCAGAGGAGTTGGACAAAGAAATGAGCATTCAGGGGAAATGAAGAGATTTTTAGGGAGGCTTCCTAACTCAGTGATGGATTACCTCTCCTCAACCCCAACTGGGTTCCTTTGGACCTTTTAACCAATTCTCCTGCTTAAAAGGTTCAAAGAGAAGCAGAAGTCACCAGTTCAAGACGAAGAACAACACTTCAAAACAGTAAAAGGAGTCCGAAAATGGAACCACCGGCTTCACCAGATGTAACAAGAGACTGGACAGCCATCAGTCAGAGGGGCTTTATTCTGGATTCCTACACTGTTTGGAGTCCATGGCTTTATGAGTTCTTTCCACCTGTCTACAAGTCAAAAAACGGACGACCCACCTGGAATTGAAGCAGAAGGTGCGACAGATGCCACGGGCATGGGTGAAACAGAAACCCCACCAAAGGAGCTGTAGCTGACCCCACTGGAAGCCCCGATGCTGGATGGAGGTTGAATGCCAGAGCCAACGCCTCCAGGGGAGCTCTGTTCGGGAAGGTTGGGGGAGTTTTCCCATGCTTTTCGGGCCGACTCCATCTGCGAGGAGAAAAAGGGACAGGAATTAGTGCCATAGCATCCAGAAAGGACTTCTGCTCCAACAGACATCACTGAAAAGTGGGGTGGGGGGAGATAAAGTCATCCTGGAGGCATGGATTGAAAATCTCTCTTGCAGGGGAGAGTGGCAGATGCTTAGCCCTGCAAGGGACATCAGAACCCCCTTTCCTTGGATGTTCAGGTTTGGTTTGAAAACCCACCACCAAACCAGACTAGAAAAAGACTTTTTCATAGAAAGAAAAGCAGATGTAACAGTAACATGTTTGGCTGAACTCTCATTTTGATATCCTGAGCAACTTAATGCATCGGATTATTTCGATGAATTCCAAGGACCTATATTGGAATCCTGCTCTTAGATAAAATTGCACCTCCAAGGAAACCTCAAAACAATGTATCTGCAGATATCTGGTTACCCTGGTTAAGGCTCTGAGGATGACAAATCAATGTTCTGAATAACTGTCCATCATCACTGGCTGCAACCAAAATGCCCACCCCCTTTTTTGCTCTACCCCAATCAGAAAAAGCTTACTTTAAGAGTGAGATCTGCTGTAGGATAAGACATGTTCAAGCTGATGCACCGGGGAAGTTGGTGATCTCTTCGAATAACAGGAAGGGACTGTGTTAGTCCAGACTGTTGAGACATAGATGGAATAAAATTAAACGCTGTTGTGTAATTCCCCAAACGACTTGGAAGACCTCCACCTCATTTCCAAAAGAAGGAGGAGATGGAGGAGGAAGAAGTAGAAAAGAAGATGAAAATGGAGAGGAATAAAATAGGAGCAGAAGATGAAGAAGGAGAAGGAGAAAATGAAAAAGGAAGGGAAAGAGGATGAGAAGATGAAGGAGAAGAAAAAGATGGAGAGAGAGAAGGAGGAGGAGGAGAGGAAGAGGAAGAAGTGGAGAAGCTGAACGAGAAGAAAAAGATGAAGAAGGGGAAAGAGGAAGAGAAGATGGAGAAGAAAAAGAAAAAGTTGGAGAAGGAGAAGGAGAAGGAGGAAGTGGAGAAGGAGAAGCTGAAAAGGGAGAAGAAGAAGGTAGGAGGCGGCGAAGATGAAGAAGGAGAAGGCGGAAATAGAGAAGATGAAACAGAAGAAAAAGATGAAGAAGATGAAGAAGGAAAAAGAAGAAAAAGAAGAAAAGGAGGAGGAGGAGATCAACAGCAAAATATTCTTACATTGCTGGCTAGGACATTCTGTAATTTTGCAACTGGGTTAGCTGCTGTCCCAGGGGCCGAGCCAGGGGGGAGGCTGAAGTCCGAATCCTGCAACAAATTTGTCTCTTTGATCAATCAGTCCTCAACACTGCAACTTGGTTTACTGGAAAGCAACAATTATAAATCTCCTAGAGGGAGGGGGTGGAGCAGAAGCATCTTTGATTTGTTGTTCCTCCCCCCCCCCCCCCCCC